CCTTAACACACCTTACTGGATTCAAACGAATGCTCTCAACTGAGTATGAAGAGCACATCACTGTGCACCAACAGTCGTCATAAGACAGTTTTCTACACCGACATAAGGAGAAATTGCCATGGAAAAATCGTGCAAGATTCGAGCTCATGGTTAGACTCGCTTCAACTTCGTCCTCGACGGATCGTGGGCCAATAATGCGTTATCTGAAACGCTGGTCAGGAAGGGGTCTTGCACAGTCAAAGATACTGTCTCTAGAAAGCTATCCATCAGATACGGTTGAAGGGAATTGTGTAGCTGCTTTAGGCTGGAGCCCTTACGGAGGACTTCCTTGAGCTCGACAGCGGTGATGAGGGCAGTGAACACGTGCTTGCATCTGCATGTGGAGAGACTCGGAAATATCTTGCCATAAGGTATTCCATCGATCACGGCAACTGGGCGAGTTAAGGGTTGTTGATATGCGTCATGGTCCTCCTTTTTGGCCCTCTATGTACCTCCAGCTCACAGCCCTGAACTGCCTGAAAATGTCCGACCCTGGCATAGTTTTATTACAACAACAAGCAGGGCGACACTGAATAGTTATCAAGTTCAACGAATCTAACCCATGATCCTGACCTATTTACCTTTCACTTGTAAAAATGTCGCAATTAGATCTCCTGAGCAACATTCCCTTGAGAGAAGTAGCAGGATTCCTAAGCACAGGAGTTATGGCACTGTGATGACTCCGAATTGCGTGACAGGGGTGGTCAAGCATTGCCTTGGTCGCTGCGTCCGCTGCATTTTTATTCGTTTTCAGCACAGGTGGTGTCTGCACCTCACTGCAACGTCTTTTCGTATTCCCTCCCTTCGCCGGGCTCTGTCTCTCCATCGCACCACGGTCGCAGTCCCAAGACGAAAAGGACTTTCATCTTTTTTTAAGTTTATTTTGTTTTTTTTTTTCAATGACGGCCCCCATTGCACCTCTTGTTTCATTTTCGAGCGGAGCAAAGCATTCGATCGTAAGCAGTGCCTTTGACCTATCATTAAGTTTTCTAAAGCAGCAAGTATAGCAACTTCCCCTAGAATGAGGCATGCGTAATGCGTGAATTAATCAATCTGGGAATAAGTATAATTTCTGCGGGCGTTTGTAATGAGTTAGTGGGCCCTGGCATATTTAGGCCAGTATTTCCTTCGCCCAGATTAGTATGGTAAAATTAGCCGACTAAGAGGGGCCATAGGGGCGGAAGTGGTGTAGTGGCAAGTGGCACGCTTACCACGCGAGCGGTCCGGGGATCAAATCCTGGGTCGTGAGTCGCCTTCCATCCCTCCGGGGTCGGTTAATTGGTACCAGACTTGTCTGGGAGGATAAAAACACTGACTTGTACATCGGCTGGCCCCCGCAAGTCATTGTATAGGCCACATCGCATTCAAACGCCACTACGAATGTACAAATGGAAGTAGAATGCGTGCCGCATCCCAAAAAGGGATTGATCAACGGCAAATGCTTTATATTCAATGCTGGTCCTTTTTATTGAAGACATCCATGTGGGATACAGGATTCACGAAAGTTGTGATCAGAGCAATAAAAGTGTAGAACGTTCAAGCAAAATGTTAAAAAAGGGACCTATGCATTTCGTAATTTTATCTGCTAATTTTTGGAGACTGCGAACGGTTGCCGCACGCGACCGCGCGTCATTATCTCGCAGCCAAATCAGGTTATTGGAACACACTGCTGAGATGCTCCGCTTTTACTAC